TTTTTTTTTTTTGGTTGCAGCCATTATTGTTGTTTGGCAGGCCCAGGCTGGATTCAAACCCACCACCTTAGGTGTATGTGGCTGGCACCTTAGCCACTTGAGCCATAGGCGCCGAGCCTTGTTTCTGAATTCTAAGTAGATCAGTAAGAATCAAGTATCATTTTAAGTCTACAAAACAATCTACTAAAAGTTGAGAATTAAAAAGTGTTTATGGAGTGAATGTAGAGATTTTTTCCTTTAGTAATTTTTATTTATATTTAAAGAAAGCATTACTAAAGTAAGATATGTTTAAAAACAAAGAATCTTGGGCAGTGCCTGTGCCTCAAAGGAGTAGAGAACCAACCCCATATGCCAGAGGTGGTGGGTTCAAACCCAGCCCTGGCCAAAAACTTCAAAAAAAAACACCAAAGTATCTTGGCTGGGCTCCGTGGCTCATGTTTGTAATCCTAGCACTCTGGGAGATTGAGGTGGGTGGATTGCCCTGAGCTCAAAGGTTAGAGACCAGCCTGAGCATGAGCGAGACCATGTTTCTAAAAAAATAAGCCGGGCATTGTGGCAGGTGCCTGTAGTCCCAGCTACTTGGGAGGTTGAGGCAAGAAAATCACTTGAGCCCAAGACTTGGAGGTTGCTATGAGCTATGATGCCATGGCACTCTACCAAGGATGACAAAGTGACTCTGTCCACCCCCCCCCAAAAAAAGAATCTCCCAGCATCATACTATTATAAAATATAAATTATTTCCATTTTTCACTCTTGAAGTTTCTTTGTACATTTGTATTGGTTTATAAGTGGTGACTCAGTAGCAGTCTCTTGCATTTTAAATTTTGTATGTTCCCTGTATATATTTTGTGTCTTTCTGCTGGCTTAAATATCTACTTGATGTTAGTGCCTACAAAAATGTAAAGGAAGAAATTATAACCTAGAAATGTTTAAGAATTTAGTTCCTTTCAACTCCAAATTTTCCTGAATTCTTTTAATGGTCAAGGAAAGACTACTGTCAAATGCAAATTTTAAAAGAAATGATAGATCTGATTTTTCTTTCTAGATTTTAGACTGGTTTGTACAGATATGTTTGGCCCTGAAACATGTTCATGATAGAAAAATTCTTCATCGAGATATTAAATCACAGGTATGTTATTCTGTCGCCAATGACTTCTAAATAGATAAGGAAATGGAGCCATCATTGTCTTGGGTCACAAAATTTGAACCTGATTCAATTTGTGTCAGAGTATGTGTCTTCTTCCTTTGCACTTATTCTAGAAATTCTCTTCATCTGCATCCTATGTCAGATCTTCTGCTTACTTCCCATATTCTGTTTTGGTTTTTTTTTTTTTTTGAGACAGCCTCAAGTTGTCGCCCTGGGTAGAGT